TCCTGATACCGGTTCAAGCTCTGCACAAAGATCCTCAATACTGGAAAAATCCTGAAGAGTTTGATCCTGAAAGATTCGACAGAAAAAACCACATCGAAAAATTCACCTTTCTTCCCTTCGGCGAAGGTCCGCGCATCTGTGTAGGTATGAGAATGGCCCAGTTGCAGATAAAGGCAGGTTTGGCTATTGTTATGAAAAAATACAGGCTGAAACTATCCCCGAAGACGCAATTACCTCTGAAGATGATCCCCGGAACTTTTTTACCGACACCGGTAGGCGGTCTGTGGGTCACTATTCAACAGCTTTAAATACAAATATTTTCTTTTAAATTTCTTTCCAATGTTACGAAGGACTTTTTACATCTAAAGAAAAACTTTGTAATTAATCTTTCCGTATTGGAATAAAATAGAAATTTTAAATTATATGGTTGTTAATAATATATTTCCTTTGAAAATATTTTTATAAGCTTTTAACGCAGCAAAAAATTATAATCAATTTAATTATTTTTAATATTACTTTATATCTTTATGTGGAAAGAAAAAATTAATATATTTGGAATTATATAATTCTTTGTATAACATATTAATATACGTATAAATAAAAGATTGTGAGTTACTATTAGTAAGATAATGTGAATTTTATTATCTTCTTTAAATCAGCGGATAATTCAAAACGCAAAAAATGTATTGGAAATATGAATTAAATTAGAAATTATGAATTATTGGAAATATTAAATCTTTATCTTTTATTCAATCGAGTTTAAATACGCAAATTGCTCGCGATTGTTTTAATTGGTTAATCATAATTGATCGTAAAATACACAATATAATAGTAATCGGTTTTTTCCGCATATTTATCGCCATTAAAAAATATTTAATGTGGCATAAATTTGTCGCGTCGGACAATTATGATAGAATACTGCTTGCAATTTCAGATAATATAATGTTTTTAACGATGGCACGACATTATTGCGTTACATGCAATAATAAGTTGCGATTTGTCGCGAACTTTGAGACTTTTCTTCTTAAAATAGTTTACTTATCAAGCTGATAAAAACATATGAAAGATAACCACATATCACTGAATAACTAAAATTCATATACTACATACATATGTATATGTATAACGAGTATGTCTATTAATTTTTGTAGATCAATTTTTAATTTAATTTTTGTAATTTATTTTAAATATAATAATCACAGTTAAATCGTAAGGGCTATCAGGAATCAGCTCGGTAAATGGTGCACAAATCATAACATTAATTCCGATGTAGTTCACATCATTAAATATAATCTGGCGAATGATACAAAAGTTTTACAGACGTTTCGGCTTAACTTTAAGCCACCGTCAAGCCGAAACGTCTGTAATACTTTTATATCGTTCGCAAGATTATATTTTATGATGTGAATTATATCGGAATTATTGTTATAATTTGCACACCATTTACCGCGCTGATCCCAGATTGCCCTTACGATTTTTCTGTGATTATTTGTTTACGAGGAGTCCTTGCTATTAACATTTAATTTATTTAAATATAATGTCTGAAGGGCTAAACTTTTAAATATCGCTATTTTGACCAAATTAACGAGAAAATATATAAGTGCGCTCGATTAGAATCAGGTGAAAAAAAGCTCGCGTTTTCTTATTTATTATCGTTGTCGTTTGTCAAAAAATTTGTATATATGTACATATTATAGGTACGTCAAAAATATATAAAGCAATTATAAAAATCGACATTCTAAAACTTTGATCTTATTTTCAATCAACAACTATTTATACTATAATTGGTTATATATCGCATACGTTTACTTAAAAATAAACATTGTACATAAGTTATCTCTTTTAATATAATAAAAATAATATCTGGAAATATAACAGAAAGTACACGAGTTACATTTCAAACAGGAGCTATCGCTACCATTGCAGGTCCTTCATGGCCATTTGATAGGTGGGACTGTGGTCGGAGTAGAACTGCGAGTACCAACGGCGGTACGCGAGGATGGCACGGTCCTCGCGCACCAGAATCGGCTGCCGTTCGTATTTCTTGTAATTCCAGATCATGACGTCGCGCTCGAACATCACGCACTCGCCCAGGAAGATCAGATTGGCGTACGGTGCCAGCAGAGGCGGCGAGAAGATCTGATGGGTCACCCGTTGAAGTAGCGGCTCGATCGGCGTCACCGTCTGCAAGATGCACATAGGCCCGAGTGACGTGTCGATCATCATCTCGACGTAGCTAGGCCCGATCTGCGTGGCACGCACGTCGATCTCCAACACGCTGAAGCGCTCCAGCAGGATAAACTTGTGGCACATGTGTAGACCGGCCTTGTGTTTCTCCCTTCTGCCGAAGCCGTTCTCCGCGACTGCGAGATGACGATGATCCTCGTTGCCGTTCTCGATCGGGTGGATCGACACGCCATTCAATTTGGCGCGCATCTTTGCCGCCTCTGCTTCATCCTCGTCCGTCTGATTGTCGTGCGGTCGCCATCCCGCGTGGGTGATCCACAAGTGTCGAGCCAACCAGGAAAGGTTGCCGGAGAGAAACATAGCCGGACCGTGCACCGCGTTGAGATGCGCAGGATCAGCCCCGTTCTCAGCTATTTCCTAATGCACGGGTAAATATTAATTTTGCGATATTAGTTTGTCAACCTTAAATTTACCATTTGAAAGAGACTTTCGAAATTAGAAAGAAAAGAAAGTGAATAAAAAGATGAAAAACTTTTTCGTTAATTACTTTTTCGTGTCCACTTCGTGGAGAATAATTGTCGGTGGTGCTCTCAAATAGTTAGCTTAATTTATGTACGTTTTGCGTTACGTTCTGCAAACTACAACTTTTTTTTTTACTTTCTTTTTGGATGATTTTTGATTGATAAAGCATATCTTTTATCACATCAAAGAATCGAATGCGCGACAAACCTGCATGTAATAATTAATGAGGTACTCATTGCGAGTACCTCACCTTTGTCCCATGGCGCCAGGCTTCTTTGGAAATGCATGCATGTGACTGGGGTTGACAGTCCGGTTCAATTAATTCGGAATGATACGAAACAAAGAGAGACGATTCACTTAACACAGCACTTCCAAACTTTTGTTCGAGCGATTATGCAAAAATAATGCATTATCTTTATCAAACGGGTAAATATTAATTTTGCGATATTAGTTTGTCTACCTTAAATTTACCATTTAAAAGAGACTTTCGGAATTAGAAAGAAAAGAAAGTGAATAAAAAGATGAAAAACTTTTTCGTTAATTACTTTTTTGTGTCCACTTTGCGGAGAATAATTTTCGGTGGTGCTCTCAAATAATTAGCTTAATTTATGTACGCTTTGTATTACATTATGCAAATTGTAACTTTTTTTACTTTCTTTTTAGTGTTTCGGACGGTGTTTGCACGATGGACATATTTTCTATCCGTTCTATCACGTCAAAGAATCGAATGCACGACAAACCTGTATGTGACAGTTAACGAGGAACTCATTGCGACCTTGGTAGCGCCAGGCCCCGTTGGAAATGCATATTTGTGGCTGGGGTTGCCAATCCGGCTCAAGTGATTCCGAGTGGTACCAAACAAAGATGAGGCGATTCACTTCGCAGCACTTCCAGACTTTCGCTCGAGCGATGTGTGGCACTGTGCAAAAAAGAAGGACCAGCAATAAAATATTAATTAAGACAGATGCACGAATAGAGATGATTTCTATAATATAAAAGCAAGTACGAATTGCGAATAATTGAGCTAACACGCGGTGTATCGTGCCACGATCCGTCACAGATGCCTGATATTTTTGGACGCGTTTGCGTTGTATATTAAAATGCACAAACAGGCGTCTTGATGCAGGAATGTGGTTTCAGGATGTAAAAAACAACCGAATCGAACATCTCGGCCGGGAGCAAAAGGGTAAATAGATACCGTCTGAGAGTTAAAATGATGTAAAACTTGATTAATACCCTTTTCCGTATAAGGTATGCTCTCGCAGTAGCCGTCCTCCCCGCGAAATGTCCAGCTATGAAAGGGACACTCCAGGCAGTCTCCCTTGACACGGCCACCCTCGGCCATGTTTGCCCCTAAATGCGGGCAATATGCGTCTAAAATGTTGACAACGCCTTTTTCGGTTCTTTAAGAAATTGATAAAACGTTATGTGATAAATATTACAGGCGGTTTTATCTCAAGCTACAAGATGTACATTAAAATAAATGGAAAAGGGGAAAGTAATTGAAGAAAATTCCGCAGACGTACCTGAACACCGCGAAATTTTCGCCGAGGGCAGACACGTGTTTTACCTGACCCTTTTTTATCTGCGAGCTCTCGAGCAGGGCGAACCATCCATTCGGATAGACGGGCGGTAGTTTACCAATCTTCCGACTTTTGCTATCTGCGGAAACGCCGCCGGTCTGCCGCGTCCCAGTCCGGCGTCTCAAATCCTTTCAAGAAAATTTATAATCTTCACTAAGAACATATCAACTCGACACTGCAAAAACACAGAATAATGAAGTCGTCACTCACTTTCACCCAGTTGAATTTGAAGAAATACGCAAAGTAGACGAGGAGTGCCAGTAGGGCGATCCCGACGCACCATTCCAACATTGTCACTCTTCTCCCGGTCTCTTGCGATTTCTTTCTTTCAACTTCCTTATTTCGACGTGCAAATAGACGCGTGGGTCCTCATGAGTCGTAGCTCCTTTCAATTGCAACAGCGGGAATGCACACAGGCGAGATCGCGCGCTCTCGTTGCAGGAGAGATAAACAAGAGCGTGCAAAAGCAAAACGGCCAGAAACGGCGACGAGGACGGGAGTTAGAAAGAGGGGAAGAAAAAGAGAAAGAGTTAGACGGGTTGGAGGAAGGTGAAAGAAGGGAGAGAGGGAGGAAGCTACTGGCGAAGAGGACGACGCGCGCGTTCGCCGGTAGCCGGGACAAAAAAGGGCAAGGTGGACTCCTGACGAGAAGGAACAGGACAAGAACGACAGTGTACGGTGAACGAGAGGACGTGAGGAAGAGAGGGATAGGGAGGAGAGCGCGATGATGAAGGCGCGGTACAGTTTAGTTAATATGTAAACGCATGTATGCATCAGCGATGTGCGATGCGTATGCGAGACCTACAGCCGAAGGGCCGAGGAACGGGCGGCAGGTAGAAAATTGGAGAACGGAGCGAATCCGGGGGATGCAAGAGGAAGAGCGTGTGGAGAACGCGTGAGGCAAGTAGGGCAGGAGGAGAAGGAAGAAAGAAAAAAAAGGATAAGGGCTCGTCGGTGGAAAAGGCGCGCTGACGTGGAGAAGAAGAGACCAACCGGAACTTATAAGGGTTTTCGGACAACTGAAACGCACGGGAGATACATCTGCGGCTTATATACGGCCGGCCGTATCCTGCAGCCGATCGACCGTTTCTATCGAAATTCCGTGTTTTTTCCCGAGGCGCCGTATCGCTCGTCGCCGATGGACTCGGCTCACGGTGTCGTGTCACGTAAACGGTTACCCGATTATGTATGCCCGGCCACGGACGAAGACGCGAACGATCGAACGAGCGACTTATATATCGTGCCACTTATATCACCGGATCTAAAACTGCCGCGCGACTCTTCTTCTTCTCCTTCCCCTCATCCTTCTCTTTCCCTGCCTCTTCGTCGTCCTCTTCGTCCCGACCGGCCGGTGTGTCTCCCTTTATCGAGACTGTATATCGATCGCGATGCCACCAGCTCTCCGATGTATCCGTCCGTCCGTTCATCCGCTTAGCATATCGATTCCGGAGAGAATATCAGCAAAGATGCACATTTATATTCTGACGTTTCATAGGTTCACATACACGTGTCGCTATGGCTGCGTTCAAGGAAACGCATTATCAGCGCTACTGCGTCGTTTTACCTTTATCGTTATTTTATCGTTAATTATAGCTGCATGAAATAATGACGAGATAGCACTAATAGCACTTCTTGAACGCAACACGAGCATGTAACCCTTAGTTTCCTGTCAGCAAAAATTGTATTTCCTTTTCTTTCCAATTCATCTCGTTATCTTGTTAACGCTGATCGAGCCGTCGATGCAAAGTAAATTCTGCCTCTTTAAGTTCCAGCTTTCAAGGCTACATTTCAGAACTTTGCTTTCGAGAAGAATTTTACTAAAAAGCTATCATTTATGTTACATATGTTATAGATTTTTAGTAAATGTTTCCTCGAAAGCAACGTTTCGGAATGTAGCCCGAAATCCTTACGTCGCAAAATTCAGCTTCGTTTCTCAAACATTCGAAGAGTATCGTATGAATGTAACGAAAGATATTGCGCTTGTTCGTCGAAGCGAAATATGAGTCGAGACATCGAGTCGCGTGAAGAAAAGCATCAAGCTAACGCATCCGAGGCAAAAAGCTTTACGGGTCAATTCTATAAGGCAGAATCGTAAGGTCTGTAACTTGTTATCGTAAGAATTGTAAGAACTAATGACTGTAATTGTATTTCTATATCGTAAGACGTACAATTCGTAAATATCTATGATTTCTCATAAATCTTACGGCTAGCAAGAAGCTGTCTGTAAAGATATATTGCATTAAGTTATAAGCATTAATCATAAGTTCTTACAAGTCTTACGATAACAAGTTACGAACTATTCTACGATTCTATTTAGAACTGGCCCATTTATGGAAAAACCAAAAGAAACATATGTATGACAAAGTTATTAATCAGATCTTATCCTAACAGAATTACAAAACTATTCAACATGTAAAGCTTCATAGCAAAAATATCAAGTCTGTGATTATTCGTATAAGACTCTTGCGTTTTACACTTCCATTTTAAAATAATTGCATTTTTACTATGTTATTTTCCATAACTATATATAGGTATTTCTAATAGATCACTATAATTTTAAATATCTTTTTCATCAAACTGATATACATTCCTTCAGCTTCCTATCACATAAAAATGTATACGGGAAAGAGAACAATTGACCTACAAGCATTCTCAAATTGAGAGTAAAATTATTCCGGGTCAGAGATACGTTTTTGTAATTTAAAAATCTGTGTCGGGCCACTATCTGTCACTACCTTAAACACATTCCGGGTAACTATGTAAACACACATTGGCCACCCGAGATAGTGTAACGCGTCACATCCCTGATGCACACGGAGGACAAATTAATTATTCAAACGCGTAGCGAGACGAAGAAACGATCTCCGTCGAGCGAGATCAGTGGTGCCGATATCGGCCCTCGTAAATGGCGCGTTTTCCCATTTATCAAGATCCCTGTCTCTCTTTCTCTCTCTCTCTTTCTTTCCTTCCTTAGCACTCCTTTTTTTCTGTCTACCTTTCTGTCAGGTCCGAAATTCTAACGCTTGTGCCGCCGGCCGCGTCGCCGCTATGTAATATTATTCGGTGAGACGGCAATAATGAGATCGTTTACGCTCGCTTCTATAATGCTCGCTCGCGAAGCTCGTGAAGCTCGCGTCAGGCAGAAACGAGCAGGTCAGGACAACTAACACGTGCCGCACTGCGTGGTAACAATTAAAATGTTTGGACAATGCGTCAGATCAAAAGTGCTTGACCACCGTTTTTCGCGGCGGAGAACCGCCACACGCGTGGCGATCGTCTTTCAGCTTCCAGTCTGCACTTAAACGAAACGCGCTCACGCACGCGCGGGTCACGGACGAGCAAATCGCGTATGTCGCTTTCGCGTAATTTATAAGATAAAAAAAAGTACAGCTCCATTAAGGCTGCTTTTTCGGCTGATAGATAAATAAAAAATTAATTTTTATTGATGGACGAGGAATTCCTCGTCCGTTTAATTACTTATACTTATAAGTAATTAAAGTTACTTATACTTATAAGTAATTAAAGTTAGTCTGATATTTCTCGACTGGTAAATGTTAGAATTTAAGTGACTGCAGACTTAGGCTCCATTTAACGCTCCCGAGCGTTTTATTTGTCCTTGTTTAATTTGATAAGCAAGAAGGATAAAATGATTCCAGTGCGTTGTAAGTGTCGTGAGCGCGAAATGGAACGCATCCTAAATCAGTCACAAATAAATTCTATAACATTTACAATTCGAGAAATATCAGATTATTTACTCGTCCATCAACAAAAGTCATCATTTTGTATAATTCTTGTGCGCAGAATGTTATCAGCAATTCAAACAATCTTAGGCAAACAAAAATTTATTTCTTCTCCAACACTAGTCAAAATTGACTCGTAAATATATACGCTGCCATAACGAAAATGTATAATATGCACCAATCAGATATCCAATGTAAAATTTATGTCAAGCGTGCACAAAAATTTTCAGACACTTAGATATATAAGTACGACTTTGTTTTTATAATTGCCAGTTCATAATTACAAGGTCTCTGCGTGTCCCCCATCCTTTGCCGCTAATTTTACGCGATAACTTATCTAGTTTCTTTCCACTATGCGTCACGACTGCAATAACTAGTCGCGTGTGATACGTGTGATCGAAGTTACATCAATTTATTATATTTGACAAAAGTCACGAATTATTATCCAGAAACAACATGACTATCATTTTGATGTCATTGATTCTCGGGGCGCTTATAGCTCTTTACTTTTATATGACGCGAAATTATACGTACTGGCAAAATCGTGGAGTACCGTGTCCGGATGGGGTCCTGCCGGGATTCGGTCATATGTTACCGGTGATCTCCCTAAGGACATTTTTCTCCGATTTCTGTTGCAAGATCTATAATGACTACAAAGATTGCAGCATGGTCGGGATCTACGACTTCACGTCGCCGACGTTGATGATTTTCGAGCCGGAACTGGTGAGAACGGTGCTGCAGACCAATTTTTCGAATTTCGCCGAGAACTCCATCACACTCGATCCCAAAATGGACCCGCTACTGTCACACAGTCCTTTCGTCATTAGCGGTGAGAAATGGTTAACTAGCAGAAAGCGCTTGACTTACGCGCTTTCTAGCCCGCAACGATTGAAACTTCTGGTTGAAAGCATCAAAAAGGTGTGCACGTCGTTCGACAATTACATAAACGAAAAACTGAGCAACAAGCAAACGGAATTCGAGCTGAAGGCCCTGTTCGCCAGACACGCCGCACAGGTGGTAGCCGCCATTGGTTTCGGCGTGGATGGATACAGCTTCGATGACGAGAAAAAGGATATATCTTTTCGAAAATTCGGACAAGCCATTTTCGAGCCGACGAATCGACATAAATTTATGTTCGCTCTTACGTTTTTCGCTCCGTCGTTGAAAAAAATCTTCAAAGTAAGGGTAATTCCGAAGCACGTCGACCATTTCTTCAGGACGCTGGTTGCGGACCTCATGGAGCAAAGCAAGAAGGACGGAATACCTAGGAATGATTTTCTCCATTTGATGTCTGAACTGATGCGAGCGGAAGGCAATGAATTAGACATCGAATATCTCACGAGTCAGACGATGTTGCTCGTCTTCGAGATCTACGAGGTCTTCAGCAGTGTTATGAGCTTCGTCGGATTACATATGGCTAATTATCCAGAAATACAGGAGAAATTGCGCGAGGAGGTGAAATCCGTGCTCAACAGATACAACGGTGAGGTCACTTACGAAAGTTTGAGAGAGATGACGTACATGGACCAGGTCTTGAACGAGTCGTTTAGATTACTGCCCGCAGCACTGATCATGAAGAAACGATGCACGGAAGAGATCGAACTGAAAGGATCCGATGGAATTGCTTGTCGCGTGCAACCCGGAATGGAAATCCTGCTACCGGTTCAAGCTCTGCACAAAGATCCTCGATATTGGAAAAATCCCGAAGAGTACGATCCTGACAGATTCGGCCCGGATAGAAAATACAACATCAAAAAATCCACTTTTTTTCCCTTCGGCGAAGGTCCGCGCACCTGCGTAGGCATGAGATCAGCCCAGGTACAATTGAAGGCAGTTTTGGCTATTACTATGAAAACATACACGCTGAAATTATCTCCGAGGACGCAATTACCTCTGAAGATGATCCCCGGAACTATTTTACCTACACCGGTAGGCGGTCTGTGGGTCACTATTCAACAGCTTTAAATACGAATATTTTCTTTTAAATTTCTTTCCAACGTCACAAATAATTTTTTATATCTTAAGCAAAACTTTCTAATTAGCTTTCCCGTAAAAATGAAATTGTCATACAATAAAATTTAATTACTGTATCTTTACACAAAATTACAAAAGATTGGAATAAAATAAAACCTTGGAATTTTATGATTATTAATAAGTTATAATCTTCCCTAAAAACACTAACTCAACATTGCAACAAAAACACAGGATAATGAAGTCGCTTGCTCGTCACTCACTTTCACCCAGTCGAATTTATAGAAATACGCAAAGTAGACGAGGAGAGCCGGTAGGACGATCCCGATGCACCATTCCAACATTGTCACTCTTCTCCCGGTATCCCCGCGGTCTTTTGCAATTTTTTTCTTTCAACTTTATTATTTCGATCTGCAAATAGATGCGTACGTCCTCGTGAGTCCTAGCTCCGTTCAATTGCAACAGCGGAAATGCGATGCATATAGGAGAGATCGCACGCTCTCGTTGCAGGACAGGAGCGTGCAAAAGCAAAACAGCAGCCAGAAACGACGATGAGTTAGAAAGAGGGGAAGAAAAATTGAAAGAGTTAGACGGGTTGGAGGAAGGTGGAAGAAGGGAGAGAGGGTGGCAGCTACTGGCGAAGAGGACGACGCGTGCGTTCGCCGGTAGCCGGGATTTAAAAAAAGGCAAGGAGAACTCCTGACGAGACGGGACAAGGACGACAGTCTGTGGCGAACGGGAGGACGTGAGGAAGAGATGGACGAAGGGAGGAGAGCACGATTATGAAGGCGCGGTACAGTTTAGTTAATATATAAACGCATCAGCGATATAGGATGCATGTGCGAGACCTACAGCCGGAGGGCTGAGGGACGGGCGACGCCGAAAATTGGAGAACGGAGCGGACTTGGAGGGTACAAGAGGAGGAGCGCGTGGAGAACGCGTGAGGCAAGTAGGGCAGGAGGAAAAAGAAAAAGAAAAAGGATAAGGGCTCGTTGGTGAAAAAGACGCGCTGGCGTGGAAAAGAAGACACCGACCGGAACTTATAAGGGTTTTCGGACAACTGAAACGCACGGGAGATTCATCTACGGCTTATATACGGCCGCCCGTGTCCTGCCGATCGATCGTTTTTATCGAAATCCCGTGTTTTTTTCCTCGGTGCACCGCGTCGCTCGTCGCCGATTGACTCGACTCGGTGTCGTGCCACGTAAACGATTACTCGATTAGATATGCCCGGCCACGGGCGGAATTGCAGAGTATCGAACGAGGTTTATATATCATACCATCTATATCACAGGATCTGAAACTGAAGCGCGATTCCTCTTCTTCTCCTTCCTCTCATCCTCCTTCTTTCTTTGCTTCTTCGTTCTCTTCGTCGCTCGATCGGTTTATATACGGCCGGCCGGTGTATCTCCCTTTATCAAGACTGTGTATTGCTCGCGATGCCACCAGGTCGCCGATGTATCTGTCCTCCATTCATTCGCTTAGTATATCGATTCCAGCGGAGAGAAAAGATTCACATTTATATTCTGACGTTCATAGTTTCACATATACGTGTTGCTAAGGCTGCATTCAGAGAATGTACGCTATTGCGTTATTTAAATTTGCCTTTATCGTTAATTGGACGTAAAACAAGGACAAAATAGCGATAAAATAGCACGCTTTCCGAACACAACTTAACACAAACGTGCAACCCTTCTTTTCTTTCTTTTTTAGAAAAAATTGTATTTCCCTCTCTCCTTTCATCTCGTTATCTTGTCATTTAGCGCTGATCGAACAGTAATTGATATTGCAAGATAAACACTTCTCTTAGTCTTTTTTTAACTTCCAAGGCTATACATTTCAAAACGTTGCTTTCGAGGAAAATTTTACTAAAAATTTAAGCTATATATCGTTACACATGCTGTATTATAGATTTTTAATAAATGTTTCCTCGATAGCAACGTTTCGGATTGTAGCCCAAATTCATTACGTCGCGTCATAAGTTTTCTTTATGCAATTAAGTCTTACGAGAACAAGTTACGAATTATTCAATTCTAATAAATTATTATAGTTCTTTTTCTAATCTTTTTCATCAAATTAACACATTTCTCTTTCTATCAGATAAAAATATAAATAAGAAAGAAAACACTTGATCTCTAGGAAGCATTCTCGAATTGAAAGTAAAGTTATCCCGAGTTGGGAATACATTTTTATAATTTAAAAATCTGTGTTGGGCCACTTTCCATCATTAAACATTCCGGATAAGCGTATACATAAGCTATGATCGGTGTATGTTTTACACTCGGGGTGATGTAACACGCTTCTCTGATGCACATGGAGAACATATATTAATTATTCAAACGCGTATCGAGTCGAAAAAACGATCTCCACTGAAGGAGATCAGTGGTGCTGATAGTGCTTTCGGAAATGGCACGTTTTCCCATTTATCAAGATACCTGTCTCTCTCGCTCTTTCCTTTTTCCTTCTTGGCATTCCTTTTTTTTTCCCCGTCTACCTTTTTGCCAGGTCCAAATTTCTGACGCTTGTGTCGCCGTCGCACAGTGTTCCGAAATCTCAAAAAAGTGGCCATAAATCACATTTTCATTATATTTAATTTATTGCACTTTAGAAGTAACTGTTACTTGTTTTGATTTTTATCCGTATTTCACCCGCTTAGCTTTTTTACTTCTTTTTTTAACAACTTTAATACACATGTATTTTGCGTACGAGAAAGTTAGTTTAGATCTATAAGTTAGTGCTCTATGTAACATTACTACATATTTTTAACTAAATATTTTAGATGATTTGAAACAACATATTAAAAAAAAATTATAATAAATTCTAAAATAAAATTCTCGTGTCTTTGTAATCGCTGGATATCGCTCGTTCTACTTTTGCGTGAGAACTAATAGATATAATATCTTTGATTTGACAAACGGACAACGCGGTGCGAAGTGGTGCAA